GTAACAAGCCAACACCACAGAGGGAGCCAAAACCATCATCCTAGACAAATCTTTCAAACAACCACGAACAAACATGACCAAAACTGACTACGTACAACAAGATATATAACACGCACCACAGATTATTAAAAATATATTATCTCTATACCTCACAATCCACACCATACCATGATGACCAGATGCCAAAGCACACGCACAAAACAACATTACAAAAGAGACTTAACTAGAGGGACAGAGGGGTAAGCTAATATAAACCCTTGTAATTACATTATGAACAAAACCTAGCATATTAACGATTATCACATATAGAGCTTTATTAACTTCAAGTATATACAAATTCCTCAGACAATATAAATTACAATAACACAACAATCAAAGTATATTCCGCAACGACGCTAAATCTATTAAAACCTCCCCGGACGAAGATCATTGTCGAAAAACCTGGAACCATTAAAAACCAGCAGAAATATGTAGAATAATGATCACACAATAAAAGGATCTTAAAAAAAACAACAACACGTTTTTGACCAAAAAGGCCTGACCAGAAGAGGTAACTAGATAGATGCTGGATCAGGACACTCGGAGATATCCTATTGACTCGATGCGCAGTATGTCATCCCACACAACACGAGCCTTGACTGACTGAAACACCTTCACCTGCGTCAACAGGGACGGATCTGCTACAGAAACCACCATAAGAGAACCCCTTACAAGCAGAATCCTTGATCTCTGAATCCATAACATTGAGAGACTCATCTCTCTGCTGTAAACATAAGTGAAAACAGTATCTCCCATCTTCCAAGCAGTCACAAGTCCAACACTATTTGCTTTAAGGATTATAAATACCTCGAATCGAGCTGGCCTTCTGCATCCGACGGAATGCTATATGAAGGTACCCATTGCCAATGCTAATCCGACTTCTTTAAGTAATAGGTGAATCTCTCTCAAATCAAAATGGAGCTACGAATACGGATATGACGTATGGACTGCCACCTGCAAATGCATCAAAACACAGT